TTAATTATTCATCTTAGTAGTTGTTGTGGTAATACTAGCGTTTTCTGAAAGCTATTTATACTTTTTCACTTTGAAAAATCTGCAAACGTGGTGATTATTCGTGCCACTAGGTTCGTTTTTTTGTTTTTTTGGTAGAAAAATGTTTAGATTTTGCTTGTTTGGAAATTCATGTTTACAAAAGTCAAATCTTCACATTGCTATATTCATTCATTAGTTTTTTAATAGTCTTGCTTGCTAACTTAGGATGGTGCTTGTTACTTTGCATTTGTTTCAGGTTTTGAATTTCTGTTATGATAATTTTTATTGCAACGATATGTTATCAGTCAATGTTTTCTGTGGAGGAGAATGGAAGTGATTAAATTATAGACATTTAGGTTAACGAAAAGTTCTTTTGATGGTTAACATGCTTAGGAAATTTGTATTGTATGTGCGTGTGATGCATTTGGGCCAAAATAAGAAGAATAGGACTCATTAAGATAGGTATTCAGGTTAAGAAGAAGCTCTTTTAATAGTTAACATGGTAGGAAATCTGTATCATATGTGCAAGCATTTGGGCCGAAATAGAGGAAACTCAAAATGGGTAAAATTGCATCTCTATATTGGTCAATGCTATAAATGAGGTGGGTGGGCAGAATGTAATGGTGGATGTGTGTCTGTCCGTCCGTTTCCTGCATTTGGGATAAAAACTGGATCTGGGAAACCTTGTGTTAATCTAATTATGAGACATATGCTATGTTGGACCTCATATGTGAAGACTTATGGTATTACTCTGAATCTCTATCTAGGTTTGTTGACGCATTGCACCATACATACACGCAAAGCATAAGTAGCTATTATTTTCTTAGTCTTCAAGCAGTTTATTTGTCCAGTCCATTTTGTTGGTCGAGTATCCCTTAAATTTTAACATAATTAATTTGTCTAGGCCCTCCCTCTCTCTAGCCCATATATGTGTGTGTGTGTGTGTGTGTGTGTGTTTTAATTTGCTAGTCTAGACGTCAGCTTCTAGTTACAACACATTTTGTATATCTCTCGTTTTATTAATTTGGTTTGCAAGACATAAGTTTTGGCATTTCACCACCCCAGACCTCTCTCCCCTGTTTTCTGATTTTGTTTGTCAAAGAGAAATATTACACCCCTTTTCCTTTTGTCTGATGATAATATCTAGTAAACTTGCATTCTGTTTCTTGGTTCTGATTGATGTGTTTGCATCCTGCACAGCTCCTTTGAGTGGTCCATTGGTGATTGCGGAAACTCTGGGTGGTGGTACAAGTGCCAGTAAACATACGAAAGCTAAGGAGAATTCCAAAAAAGACAGGTACCTTTTCAAGCGTAGAGACGAATCGAGTAACTTAAAAGCCCATCAAATTAGCCAAGGGCAAGCAAGTTCGTCTGCCCCATCGGCTTGTGTGGATGGATCAGTAGCAGCTGGGGATGAGGATTATGTGTTGCAGAAGAGAGCTCCAGCTGTCCCTGTAAAGGCTCAGATTTCAGGGAAACATGAACAGACTGGGCTTATTAGCATTAGCGGAGCAGATTCAGGTTCTCATGGCAGAGGACCCATAAGCGCAGATCTAACATCAGGAAGCAGTTCTCTTGCCACCCAACATGTTACTGAGGACACAAAGCCATCTCTTGATGAGGGGAAGGGACCTCTTGAGGAAGTGAAACAGGGATCAGGGTCTGCGTCAGACAGAGGAGTTGTTGGCTCTAATGATTTGTTAGGGAATGGAACTCTGCCCTGTGTAAGAGATGGTGCATCACAATCTCCTAAACAGGATGGTGAAGGCTTGGCTGGGTTTAAACCTGACGAGAAAGCCAAAATATCCAGATCAGATGAACAGTTTCAACAGCCTCAGTTGAATTCCACAGTGAGAGTGGAAGAAAGCCATGGAATGGACGAAGTTCGGGATGGCCATGTTGTTGGAGGTCCTTCACCAACTGATGCAAAGCGTTTGAGTGGAAAGAGTACTGCTGGTGGAGTGAAAAAGTCAAAAGCTAAACGGCCGTTGGAAGAATTAACCCCTGAGAACTCAGTGGAGGGAAAGAAGAAGAAAAAGAAGAAACAATTAGGTTCAGAAACAAGCTTCAGAGATCCACAGAAGAATTTAGTTTCCAAAAAAGTTGGTCCCTCTGGGGAAAAATTAGTGGGAAGATCAACCCTTGTTGGTTTGGCTCCCAAAGAAGAACTAAAGGTTGAAAAACCTAAGAAAAACGTTGCTTCTAGTATCAATTTCTCAGATTCTGTTGGAACATCTGTTGATATTGGAAATGTTGAACTTGAACTTCCACAACTTTTGAGTGATTTGCAAGCTCTTGCTCTTGATCCTTTTCACGATGCAGAAAGAAACAGCCCTGCAATTGTACAGAAGTTTTTTTTGCGATTCCGGTCTCTTGTTTACCAGAAAAGCTTGGTTCTTTCACCACCATCAGAGGCTGAATCTATTGAAGCTCGCCCCACAAAGAACTCCTCTGAGCATGTTAGAGATTTGCCATCCTCAAAATCAGCGAAACCCTCATTTAGAGCTGATGATCCAACTATAGCTGGACGTAAACGGGCTCCATCTGATCGTCAAGAAGAGATTGCAGCCAAGAAGTCCAAGAAAATGAGCGATATAAGATCTTTGGCAGCAGAAAAGAAGGCTGCCCAGAAAACTTCTGAAGAGCCACGTGGGGAGGCAAGGGAAGCAGCAGTTCCATCTGGCCGAAAAATCAAGCATGTTTCCATCAAGAAAGCAGAGCATACTGCTAGGGCAGTTGAACCCACTATGCTGGTGATGAAATTCCCTCCCAAGACATCTCTACCATCCCCAGCCGAACTCAAGGCAAGATTTGCACGTTTTGGGCCTATGGATCAGTCGGGTCTACGCGTATTCTGGAAGTCATCAACGTGCCGAGTTGTGTTCCTGCACAAGTCAGATGCTCAAGCAGCTTGTAGATTTGCAGCGGCAAACAATTCTTTATTTGGCACACCAGGCATGAGGTGCTACACTAGGGAAGTTGAAGCTCCTGCGACTGAAGCTCCTGAATCTGGGAAGGGCCAAGGAGATGACATTTCCCTCGACACCCCACGGACCAAGGACACTGCTGTTCTTCAACGACCGTCATCAATCACTACAAAGCAGCCTCTTCCGCAGGCTGCCGTCCAGCTCAAGTCCTGCCTGAAGAAGGCAGCTACCGATGAGTCGGGGCAGCAGGGAACTGGCGTAGGTGGAGGCAGTGGTAACAGTAGAGGTACCCCACGTGTAAAGTTCATGTTGGATGGGGAAGACAGTAGTAGTAGGGTTGAGCAGTCATTGATGGCTGGTAATAGAAATAACTCCAGCAACAACAGTGCTAGTTTTCCAGATGGTGGTGCACCTTCCTCTTCCAATTCATCTTCTACTTCTACTTCTGTTGCAATGGATTTTAGTGTTAGAAACTTTCAAAAGGTCATTTCTCAATCCCCACCTATTCTTCCAACCCCTCAATTAGCAAAAACCCCACTTAACAATTTACATCATCTTGAAATGATAGCACCTCCCAGAAACACAACATCCATTGCACCGCCCACTGTTGATATTTCCCAGCAGATGCTAAGCCTCTTGACGAGGTGTAACGATGTTGTGACCAATGTCACGAGTTTGTTGGGCTACGTGCCTTATCATCCTCTTTGATTAAACAAAAAAACAGTAAAAAGGAAAGCAATCTCGGCATAAAAGAAAAATACATCTACCAAGGCTTGTGTAGAAGTGGAGTAATATTTGCGTGACACTAAAAAGGGCGAAAATCATATGAGCACTCCACAATTATTGAGGGAAAAGACGTGGAAGTGGGGTCTAATTCCCGGGTCAAGAGCTGCTGAAGGATCGAGATAGAGAGGCCAATTTTTAAGCATGGTTTTGGGCTGAAAAGATGTTTGGCTGTGGATACTTTAACCATGTAATCTGATATCATATGGTGCCATAGCGATGTTATGCATCTTGGTTGGTTTTTTTTTTTACTTTCTATTCTGTGGGCCTGCGGTTATGCATTGCTCACTCCAGTTCTGTTTTGAGCTTCGTGAATTGAAATTACTCATAGGCACGTTTACACGTTTTGTTTTGCCCCTATGGTGGCCGTATTTGTGATATTCGGTCTCGCGGGGCATTGCTAATGACCACATAAACGCCCCATCTGTTGAAGCCGGCACTAAAGGAAGATTTTATTCCTTTGGTATGCTTTTCGCTCCAAAGAATATTTTTCTTTTCTGTATTTAGAAAATCTATTTACACCCGGAAAAAGGGTCACGAATGCATGATAAATTAAAATTGAAATACACCCCAAGGATAAGAACTCTAACGACCGCTGATTCTTGTCCTTTTTTCACCCCTTTCAAAATAAAGCTTTATATTCCTTGTTTTTCACCCCGAATGTGTGACTTTGTTATCACATTAGAAGAAGTCAAAGATTTTTTTTTTCCTTCTTTTTTATGAGAAAAATAAAGGGTAGTTTACTTGTAACAAAATCACCTCCAAAACTGTTTCTCGTTAAGTTTATTTCCACCCGACTACATAAAGTAATGATGGAAGAATCAAGAATTTAGAAGAAAACGACATGCTTACAACTTTGACATTTACAAGTAAAATCGATATCATCATTTATGCCTACCTACACACGTGTGGAGGTTGCAAACGTGCTTTCATTTTGCATTGTTCAATGTGACTGTTTACCGAATAAACCCCACTTTATTTTATTCCTTCGTCCTAAAGCACAAGCGATTACCACGCGCCTTGTACGCGTCTTTTTCCCATAAATATACGAATATCCACGATTTAATAAAATTAAAAAATATTTGCCGTCAAATTTTTGACAAAAAATTATTTTAGAAGAAACAAATAAGAAAATCATTTTAAAAAAAAAATGAAAATAACATAGAAAACAAGTCTACGCGTATTTTCATATCTAATCTAATAAACATATAGAGTCATCCACCCTAAGAAAAGGAACAAATAATAACAAACTGACGCGCCTAAGGAGCTATTCTAGGGAATCCCAGAAAAAGCCAGAGAGCCATTATTTTCCCGAGTCGGTTTCACTTTCTATGTATTTTCCTTCCTACCCATTTTCCCTCCCTTTAAATTCCCAGACCCGTTCTTTTCTCCCCCAAATTTCAGTTTCCTTCCCTCCAAACAAAAAAAGCTCTCTTTACACTTCTTAGATTAGATTCTCAAATTCGTTTTTTCCTTCCCATAGAAGATCTTCTTCTCATAGCTATGGAGTGCAGACCTCTGGACATAACCTTAATCTCGGCGACGGACCTGAAGGACGTCAATTTCCTCTCCAAGATGGACGTCTACGCCGTCGTTTCGATCTCCGGCGACTCCTTCTCAAAATCCAAGCAGAAGACCCACGTCGATAAGGACTCCGGCCCAAACCCTAGGTGGAACTACACCATGAAGTTCACCGTCCCCGACGCCGCCGCCAAGCAGAACCAGCTCACCCTCAAGATGAAGCTCGTCTCCGACCGCAGCTTCGGCGACAAGGAGATCGGCGAGGTCCACGTCCCGATCAAGGAATTGCTCGACAATTACGGCGACGAGAAGTCGGAGAACCTCGTCACCTACAACGTCCGTTTGCCGAGCGGCAAGTCCAAGGGGACCCTAAGTTTCTCCTACAAATTTGGGGAGAAATTCACGGCTCCGGTTCAGC